ACAATTTTAAATAATTAAACTGAAAAGGAATTGGTCGAAAGATCTGCAAATTATAAGAACTTATTTTATACAAGTTTACCAAGAGAAGAAAAAAAAGAGAGAGTCCAGTCGCGTCCGTGACATACACGACAGAAGATGAATGCTCTGCGCTTTTGTGAGCGAGCCGCAACTTCTTGGGCGGGACGCGCGTTTCCCCCGTCTCGCTCCGACACCGTGTATACGTAACTCTTATGATGAATGTCGACATTAACTGAAACAATAATTCAATTAAGACTACCGTTACTCGCTTGGCGTCGCGAGGTCGACAGGTACCTCGCTCATGCGCGCGTGCCTATTGTGTACATTGCGTATAATGTCGATGTCGATCGAACGATATACGATTGAAAGTCATTCATAGTCGATACCCGATTTGACGTCGGCGTTACGAAGCAGAATACAATCACGATTGTAAGAAACTATATCATAAGACATGCGATTATATGTTGTGATTCTCGCGAGAGAAAGAATGTGTGCTACAATTTGTGCTATATCAATAAACAAAATGTGCGAAATCCTTTTACACTTTCATCTAAATTAAAGATATATTTTATTTATTAATTCCCAAATATGTGTTTTAAACATATCATTCATAATTCATATATAATAAAATATAATAAAATAATATATTGTAAAATATAATTAAATTCTATAAATTTATCGAATACGTTGCCACTTAAATGTGAATGCTATTTAAATTCTCTCTACTAATATTGTTTAAAAGAAAATTACTTCAAATTATAATCCTCGTTGCAAGAAGGAGATTCGCATTTATTATTTAGGACATTGATTCGATACGTTCTCAGCAAGTTTGTGCACTCTCGGGATTCGTGAATGCGCGAGACTATTGTTTCTACGTTTCATTTGCGGCTGTCGGCTTCCACTCTCGCTCTCAGCGAGACATAACGGCGTAGGAGAGAGAGATGAGGGTCTCCCAACCGAGTATAATTATTAGTCACGCTGTGGTCAGAGAATGTATACCTGGATGTGGCCGCGGTCCGACCGAGACCAGCGTAGATTCCATGTTATTTCCGCTGATTACATTCATTATCGGATTTAAAGTTAGTAGACCCTTAGTTAAGAGTGTCTCGAACTGTGTGTATGTGTCTTGTTGAGCCCGCCGAACCTACGACTTTGACTGGGACTCTTGACGCACGAACACGGTGAAGGAACCAACGAGAACCGTATATTAATTTTATTGAGCCACGATTATTTCGAACTCTGCCGTTCTTTACCGCGTCTCGTATTTCATTATTTTTCGATTCGCCAACGCGCAAAAAATAAACGTCGTTGCTCGGAAACAACTAGGAGGAGGCGAATTAATTAGATTGCATTTCCTATAAAATAAAATGATATCTTTAAGCTTCTAGGCACACAAAATAATCTCAAATTAGTATCCACTGCTGCGTGAAAACTTCTCATCAATAGGATCCATTTTTCTTTTAAAACGCAAGTTTCTCTCTCTTCTTTTCTCTTTTTTTTCTTTATTGTATAACATATATTTCAATATGTAATTATATTTATACGTTTAAGACATTTTATGCATTAAATTTTTTGTTTAATTAATATTCTATTAAAAATAATAAAAATAGATTTATTAAAATTTCTGAAATTTCAAATATTTGTAGTTCAATATATTTTCATTAACAAAATTCCAAATTAATACAAAATTCTCATTATGTGTATTAAAACGCAAATTTATGATAAGCTTATTACTAATATTATACTCTATCACTATTAAAAAAAATCTCTCTCTATGATAAATGTTCGTTAATTATCATTATTAATCATTGTTTATATGCCTTGATTATATGCATGATTAATGGTGTGGTGTCTAGTAAGCTACGAGAGAGACAAGTTTTCAGATATCGCGTGTCACAAATCTTGCAAAATACAAAGTCGCTTATCAGTGGTGGGATTGCTACGCCTACGCAAGATAATGCGAGAATTGCGTACATGTACCATATAGTATTCTATTCTAAAAATAAGCGCTCTATGGCGATATATATATGATATCGCAAATTAAAAAAAAATTTCAATCAGGTTAAGAGTTATCGCTCGAATTCAAAATATTTTGTCGAGTATCCTCCGATTCTGACGTATCTAATCATTAACTCACATTTATACGGTTGTGAAGAAAAAGAAAAATTAACATGTTTTTCTCTAACGATAGATAAAAAAATCACACATATCTGATCTATTGCATATTTATAGAAAATATTTAATAAACTATAATTATAATATTTTTAAAAAACTATAAATATATAACTATAAAACTATAAATTTGTCATAAAATTCAAATTATTTCATCTTAGCTTTAATAATGTTTTCATGCAGCCATTTGACGTTTGTACGCAAGAAAGAGAATTATATGTTTTGCTATATATATCTTACAAGATTGACCTTCATTTTGCAGATGCATCAAAGCATGAAATGGCTCAATAAAATCCACAGCAGATTCTTCCGCGGAGCAATGAAATCGCCGATCGAACGATGATCATATTGACCTCGATCGATACAATTGCGGCCAATTGTCGATGTTCTCATTCTCGATCAATTGAATTTGCGGTGGGTGCTTTGATACGGAAAACAATGCTGACGCGATCAATGAGCGGCGTCCGAGACGCCCACTCCGAGAATTACGCAAACAGTTGATAAATCTGACTTTATCTAGCTTTATTTATGTGTAATCAACATTCGTTCAGCGTATTTTTTTTAGTCTTTGATTTTATATATCGTCTCGTCTTATCTCTAAGTTAACCATGATAAATGAATACAAACGCACAAAAACGCTACTCTCGAGATTAACGATTTGAAAAAAATGTCGATAAGTATTTTTTATTTTTAAATACATATATAATTAATCTGGAAGATGCGGATTCATAGAAAGAAATAAGATTAATGAGGATCATTAGTAATAAATATTTAGATCGTCCGTTCTTATCGCTGTTTATACAAAATATAATTAATATATTAATTAAATACAATACATAGTTATTTCATGATATTCTTGCTTATTTAATCGAATTTGTCATTGCAAAAACAGGAAACGCGTAGCATCAATTCAATTATCAAATATAGTAGTAATTCAATTATCAAATATAGTAGTAAATATATAATCCAGATTTTCTGATTTTTATTTTAATAATAAATATACTATAATAAATTCTTCACATCTATTTTGATCGACTGTTCCATAATTAATTAATCCAGAAGCTTTCCAATTATTGCAATTATTGCATATAAGCAATTGAAAACGCGAAGACAGATCAAAGATTTCTAGATTGTAATTTAAAAAAAACAAGTTTTTATTATTTATTTAAATGTAAGCTTTATTTTTTCAAAATTTTATATATTTCGCCATTGAATAAATAAAGTATTTGATATTGAATTTTAATTAAAAAAATAAAAAATTAGAATAATGTCTATAAGAAAAGATAATTAAAGTTATGAAATTCAAGAAAAATCTATTATTAAAATTGTAATTAGTTTTAACACCATTAAAGTTTTAATTAATTTTAAACACACAATTAATTATTGCATTTGCAAAGATTTAATTAATCGCGGAGGTAATCAATCGCGTTTAAAACAACGTATTGCGTCGCGCGTGAAAAACTGTGACGTTTTAAAATCTACGATCAGCCTAATTATTATCGACGGGCTTTCTGCGTGGGCTTCGAGAGCCGGTCTCGATACGTCTCGTACAAGATGACGCCGGATAAACTCGTGGCTGACTGCACTATCGATACATTAATTAAAACATCGATGCTCCGGCTGTGACTGGCAGCGAACTCACGCCCAGATTTGATCGCTCAAATATAACGCACTTTTATTTCGTCTCCTGTTCTCCTCGCGCTTGACGTATCTTGTTCTTTCTTTGCACTTGTTTCCGTCTTCTCCTACGAGCTCCATCAAGTTTCTCGCATAAATTAATCATTGTCAGGTGTGATTGGCCTGCTCGAAAGTTTAAAGACGACATGTTTCAAATTTAGATTCTCTTTCCTTAGGTTTTTCATATCATTTTTTATTGCTCTATCAAGGAAACAATTTTCGATATTTCGTTAATATATAAGTGTTTTTAAAATATAATCACAATTTTTGTAATCACAATTTTGTATGTGATTAATATTATTTCAAGAAGATATTCTTACAATTATTTTTTAAATTCAAAAATTCAGAAACATATGATCGTAATCATTTTGAATTGTCATCAAAGAATTTGTTTATAGCATGATGAAAATTTAATCTGGGCAGGTAATTCACGGCAAAATCTAGAGACGTTCTCTATAGACCTCGCCACCAGTTGCTTCGAAATTACATTACCCCATGTGCAGCTATGCTCAGCGTGGGACACGACGGCGAATAAATCTCAACCCCCGGTGGACGTACCGGGGGCGGCAGCGGACTTCCGAGAGGGGCGCATGGTAGTACGCGTTCTACCCTCGGAAAAGGGCGCGTCTCCAAGGGAGGAGTCCAGGCAATGAGGATGCAGCCGAGGAGGCGGTGGAGGAGAAGGGACGAAGGGAGGAATTGCGGGAACGCGGCGTGGGAACCGAGAGGGAGAGAACGCTCGCCACCCTTCGTTGGAAGGGGAACGGCAGGGGGGAGGTGAATTTTGCAACCCGGAGAGATCGTCGACGACGAAAATCGTCGTTGCCGTTTAGTCGTCTCTCGTTCATTGACACGCGTGGGTTTGTTTTTCAATCTCGACGCGAGACGCGTCCGCGAGAGAGCTCGGGTGAAGGGGGGATAGTTAACATACTTTTAATAATTACGTTAATTGACGTAATTTTTAATAAATTAATATCAATTTATTATATACACGAAAAATTTATCGTTCATGTTTTCACTAGTGTGTAAGATTATATAAGAGTAGTGCGTGTTTTTAACTTTGAAGTATTCTAAAGATGTAATGAAGAGAGTCATCCTTTTTTTAATAGTTTCTTATTTTAATACGTTTTGATATATTATGAAATGCACGTCGTGTTTCGGGAAAATTGGCAAATTGCTGTTTACATGAAAATTTTTTACGATGGTGGAGGTGATACATCCTACATATGTGAATGAAGAGCGGAACTTTAAAGCGGTGAGTATATAATTGCATATAAAAATAGTTTATTAGCCAAACTATTACATCATCGTTATCGGAAAAATTTGATAGCTTCGCTGTAATGAAAGCTGATATTATCCGCATAAGAGTTTTCACCGATGAGATATTCTATCTTTTACTATATTTATCACTTTAACATATGTTAACAATAAGTGTAAAAGTGAAATCACTCTCCATATATAAAATTATGATAGACATTTCATCATAAACCTCAACCATGTAAGAATTTTTTCGCTATTTATTCTATATTTATTAGAGAGAAATTATTTTTGAATTGAAAGATCATATTTACCAAAAATATTAAGCATTTAATTAACAAATTGGAATGATGCAACATCTAATTATTCACATCGGTCAAATATTACCAGTCGTATTGTTATTAATTTATCGGACACTCGTGACGTCTGTGTAAAGCGGTATCCATGAGAGATTTTAAAAGTAAATTGGAAAGAAGCCAAAAATGGTTTCGCAAGCTAGGCAAGAAATCAAAGTATCAATTGAAGAAGATGGAAAGGTACATACGGCGCGAATGAGAGGTTGGCCGGCCAGAGAGAATCGTGTGGAAAAAGGGGGAACTCGCAGGATGCTCGATGTAGAGAGAGGAAGGAGAGGGTGCCCCGTAAGAGAGAGAGGGGCCCCGGAGGAACAAGAGGGGACCGTACCCCCACTTTTGTCTGACCCTCTCTCCCCCTACCAAGGCTTGTGTCGCGTGTCCCATCTCCCACTTCTCTTCTATCGATACATACAGCACCGTCGCTGTTGCTGCCGCGAATCGGATACATCGGCACATGCGTAAGCATGTGTATGTGTGGAGCAAGTAGTTTTGCTGCAGTTGGCGCGTTTATTCCGATGGAAGACACGGCCTGATTGTCGTGCGAGAGAGAGAAGGAGCGAAAGAGGGGGTGGTCTGCGGATGGAGTCGGGGGATGGAGAAGGGTGGTGAGCAGAGAAGGGGACAGGCCGTGCGTGTCGGAGATGCACGCGCGCGCGACGGTGTGTTGGCGGCCACGCGTGTGGTGGAGAGAGAGATCTCTCGGAGGAGAGAAGAGACGAAGAGGAGAGAGGTGACTTCTCCTCAGGGGCCTTAGTCGCCGACTGTCCGCTACTACGCACGGTGTTACACCATCATCGTCATCGCGTTTGGCTCTCTCTCTCTCTCTCTCTTTCTCTCCTTCGCTCTCCCACTCCACCCTCGCTCTTTCTCTCTCTCTTGTATGTCGCGGCGCGTATATCTTTGATCTCAGTCATTTTCGTGCATCCCACGTTAAGAGCGACGTGTCTTGTTCAGAATCCTTGGAGAGATTTGGAAAAATTCGACACAATTGGATCGGTCACATCTTCAGAAGGAGAATCATCAAAGAGGAAGAGAGGTTTCCGACTAAAAGCTTCCACGGTGGAAGAGCATCATATATAAGAGCGTAATCTTTAGACAGAACTCTCCCTGATAGCCCTGATAGGATATCGAGAAGTTTCGTAACCACGATTTGATCTTCAACACAGCAGAGACAATATTGGACAGACGGTTGTAATTCGAAATTTCGTGGAATTCGTCTATTTACGGAATAGTCATCTCCATGATAAATTCACGACGACCGTGAACGTGCCGAGAGGAGTATAAACAAGATCATTAGCACTAGATTCCCAGATGTATCTTCGAATATGCGTCTTTCGCACACTATGAGGACTCTTAAACATTGTCGAGAACATCTCTGTACGTTTCTCTCCTCTCCTACGAACTGTGAATATGACTGTGGTTCAAATTTATGGGTGATTTAAGAAAGACAGGTCGAAGGCTCGATGACAAAGGAAATCGATCAGCTCCTGATAATAGCACTTTTGTGTCCTTCATCAAAGGAAACGAAAGTTGGCTTGTTTGAAAGGTGAGATTCGAAAAGTGTAAAAATGCATGATATGAATCCTAAGTGAAGTGGAGACTACAGGGTGCTGACTGAAGTGTAAAGGCATCGAAAAGTGCTCTCCATCATCGCCATCATTGAACGACCGTCGACAAACGGATTCACGCTGCCATCTGCACAAGAGGTGAGAGATCGTCGTGATAATACTCTTGTGAGAATGGATCAACCTGGTCTTTACTAATTTTAATTTCAATTTTGTTTATAATTACATGATAAATAAAGAGCCGCAAAAGAATTTTAAAAAAATTGCAAGTCATTAATTAAATATTTACATTAGGCATATTCGATTGAAACATGTATTAAAGTTATTGTTTCAGCCATGAAAGGCTTAATTTAGTTTTTATTTGAATGTATCTAATATATTTTTAACAAATTTCGATATTAAATATATTTTAATTAAATTTTAAATAAATAAAATATATTTTAATTAAGATTGGAAATTCATATATCCATTACTAAAAACATCCTGAAGCATTAATTAAAATGTATTTAATATCGAAATTTTATTATTAACAATATATCAGATATGTTCAAATGAAACAAATTAAGCCTTTTATAGAATAGAATAGATACATGGAAAGTTTCAAAATAACTGAAAATTAGTGATAGAAAAATCGAAATCCACTTCAGCTAATTGAAAGACGTATTAATATTATCGATCTAAACACGTTTGTTCCTTATATGTGTATGTGTTGTAATTATTTCGGAATTAGTCATTAACTATTCGATATCTTTTTCGACTTTCATTATACATTAGTAAAAAAGAATAATGAATTCTGTTAACATTACGAGGCACTTGTGCGTCATCCTTGTCGCCAGAGATTATCGGCCGGAGATACCACAAAAGTTTACCTACTAATTGCTCCGAGAAGACGGGGGTGGGATGCAGCAACCAAATCAAGAGAAAACGGTCGTTTCTCTTATCGCGAGATATTGATATCGGACGTTTCATCTCTTACTTACATCACAAAATTACATTTATTAATCTTTTTTCCCCGTCACATTTTGACAATAATTAAATCTCTGCCTCGTTCACCATTTTGACTCGCATATGTCAAGTGGACACGTCAGTCCCAGCCCAGCAACAATCAAGCCCGACGTAAAACTGTCAGGAGGAAATGATAAGCATCTCCTGGGTGAAACGCGCATTCGGAATAAATCTTCGAATGATATCGTTTACGGGGAGAGAATTTGTACCAAGATGGAGAGAAAAAGAGAGACAAGTACATGTATATCGGCGCTCGCTCGTTCGCGCGTTTAACGAGCGCCAATAAAAATATCTAATAAGCTACCGCGCCACAATAATTAATTCCGGCAATAGCATTAATCGTTGCCATTCTGGCGGCAATTATTTTTAAATGTACGCCGTAACGCGTTTCATCGTAAAACTCGTATACTGCCGGCGCTTTTTTTCTACCCGACATCCCGTAGCGGCGTAAAATGGACAGTTCTCTCGAAAAGCGAGGCGCGCATATAAACAGGGCCTTTCTTCAGGGTACTCGAGCCCAGAATAAAATATTACTCGACACGCGCTAGTTAAGAAAAATTTAAATTTTGAATTTAATTAAGAAAATTATTGTATTACATATATATATATACTGGATTATGTTATTTAAATTTGATATAAAAGAAGAGATGCGCTCGAGATTTATTATCGATATTGATTTTCTATCTTAATCATCATTCATGAAAAATCTCTGAAGTCTTTAGGGATGTTCAGGACACGTGGTTTGTCCAATTGGAAGATATCGCTTGTAAACGCGAGCATCCGCGAGAAGCGCCTTGATATTTCGCTGCGAGACTTTCCGCCATGAATTATCGCCGAGAACCGTATAAATCACGCATGCGAGCATGCGGAATAGAAGTAAGAGATGTACATTACATACGGATACGCGTCATGTAACACAGACACGCTGTCGTACAATAGCAATAGCGCGGTGTTATAACACACTACGTGCGATTCGGTACTTACGTAATTCGCGTATGTTACAGGTAGTAACGCAGGTAGCCGACATGCAATCCGCTCATTCTTTCGCGGTAGAAATTGATTGCATCTGATACGAGCAGTAGAAGCACGTCAGTACAAATAACTCTGGGAGAAGGAAAATAGACCATTCCTTCGCTTTGCAATGCGCGGAAATCACCTTTTAACCTGCTTCTCTTTCTTTCTCTCTCTCTCTTTCTTGTGTAATATATCTTTTACATAGATATTTGTATTTCTATATCGCCCTAATATTAACGGGGGATTAAAGGAAACGGGATTATTTTTATATTCTGTTTTATTTGTTATTTTATGTACTATATATTAGTAATTTTTATATATTTCTTAATAAAATCATTTCAAAGAGGTTTTTCTTATGTATAATTTATTTTAAGTTACAAAACATGCATTTATTATAATAATTCGAATTTTTAATCTATTTTTTTGTAGTTTTGCACAGAGAAAAATATCATTCTACTGCCAAGCGATTAGTCAGTTTATTTTTCTTTTTTTAAGTAACAGTTTTCTCCAACAAAGAATATATTCTTGATAATAATCTTAAAATATACTCATCACAAGTGTTAAAAAATCTCATCATCATGTACTCAAAAGAAGAATTTATTTTCTCTTCAAGAATATTGTAAAGTTGTATCAAAGAAAAATCAAACCTACTTTTCGTCAACTCTTGTAGTAAGCAAACCAAATTTTTGTTTTAATTTAATATTCTTGACTAAAATACTGCACTTACTAAAATTCAGAATATATTCGATTAAATTTAATGCTTGTGGTAAACTTATGATATATTTGCGGATATACAAACTTATGATATACTTAAAATAAATAATATTTACTTGAATACAGTATACATTTTTCTCTGTGTGCACATTTTCAACCATGATTATTTCTTGTTGATGCTACATTCAAAATTAATTTTCAAGAATTAGTTGAAACTTGTATCAGTTGAAACTCTCATTTTTACGCGAGATATTTTATTTGATACAGTGATTTGTTACCTCAGTATCGAGGATGCAGCAATTTCTCTTCGATTTAATCTCGTCGGCTAAATCCATCGCGCGAAACATAGGAGCAGAACATATGTATGCTTTATGAATCATCTTTATGCAAACATTTTGCCTCGCATATTGGCCGAGCATTGTTCGCGTCGTCGCATTCCTGAATATCGGGATTATAATAAAGACCGCCTTCACAGTACTGTAAAAACCAACCAGTTGCATCCCCTTCTATCTGTTTACATTCATAGTACGAACGGCAGTTACAATCGTGACACTTTCGTTCGCCCTTTTTGCAAGGCCAAGGACCAGGAGTAGTAGGAGGTCCGCAATTCCCACCCGCTCGATCCTCCACACAAGCCTGACACGTGCGGCTGAAGCATGTACCCGGATCACATCGACACAATCTTGGTTTACCATTTTTGCATTCGAAATATGTATTGCAGTCGTCTTTTGGATTGGATATCTTCTCGTTCTCATATGAGCACTTATCAACCTCGGGCTTCGTACAACTTTCGCAACCAGCCTGCCACGGCCAATCGCAAACTTGTAAGCGTCTATTATAATGTAGTCTCTCATATCCCGGAATCCCGGAAAGAGAACAGTTCTGCAATACTGGTCTACACCAATCGCATTTATAGAACTTTGTGCAGTCTGTCTCATGGGGCAGATTAGTCGCATATTTTTCTGGACATTTGCATTGTGTAACAGGACATTTTAGATGCCACTCGTAGTTTGCGTTGACCACGGTCCAAAGTGCCAACGAGGCGATTACGTACACTCCTGTGGCAAGAATTATTGTGAAGCTGTTAATTGCGATGTAATCGAATCGTGGTTTAATCGGTTTTTCATAATAGAAGAATGTAATTATTTATATAAATCTAAATAAATAAATTATTTATATAAATAAATAAATAAATAATTTAATAAATAATAAATAAATATAAATAAATATTTTAAAAAATATAAAGAAATAAATTATTTATATAAATATAAATAAATAAATTTATTTATATAAATCTCCATAAAAAAAATTTGTGGTACGATGTGTAATACAAGCACATATCGATCGTTAACATTAATATAATCTTATTTTAGAAATTTATTAAGTAATTTTAACACTTACGCTTCATCGCCTGTCCTTACTCAAGTTCGCGCTTGAAGAGAATAAAACGTATCGTTCGTTTCTTTATAACACTTCTCTGATCCGTTTAAATGTATGACTGAGACCGAATTCAAGTGGATCATCGGCTTTTATAAATATTCATTGCGTTATCACGAAACATACGAGGACACAGATTATCATATCTGTACTTAGAAGATATACTTTTATTGTTTACCGGAAGAGTGGATTATTGGCATTAATATTTTACAGAAGAAATCAGATCAAATCGCGATAAATATGACCATGCACAATTTTTGTCGGTCATGAATTAATAGTTTAGAAAATATAATACAAAAATTAATTATAATCATATTTTATATCATTTTGTTTTATCTTGCTTAAATCTTGCTTCAATCAAATATATGTATGCTTTGTATATACATATATTTTATAAAAGATACAATTAAATTAATAAGATACAAAGATAACATCTAATATAATTTTCGATTCGATAATAAATGAAATTTGAACGTTTTAGCATTCAATGAATTTTTGATACATTACATTGTATTGCGACTTATACAGATAAATTTTTAAATTTGATATAAATATGCTACTTGATATAGCTCTGCATGTTATCAGTTCAAGCCTTGAAATTTAATGTGATATCTAAATTGGTCTTTGGTCGCGATATTATCAAAGAATATAATCTACATTGTTCTATATGATATTGAATAATAAAAAGATGATTAATATAAATAAAATTTCCTTGCATGTCCAGACGTGCGAATGTAATTCTAATCAGATCAATGTAACGTATTATTATGCACTGATGACTAGATAGACTAAAATGACATTAAAATACAGCGAATATCACTTAACGACGTATCATCCGTCGTAGAAAAATTTTGGAATTTTCTGCTGACATTAATCCTCCGAATATTCCGAGCACAACAAATAGATGATTGTTCAGCCGATGATCATTTTTATATTATATAACATTAAAAGAAACATCTTATTGTTTAAAATTCATATAAAAAATATACATATATATATGAATTTCCTGAATGTTTTTAATTTCGCAATCGTATAGAATTCTTGTTCCTATTATTTGGTCCCGAATGACATCAAATCATGATCATCGTTATTTTGACAATTGACGAAAATAAAATATATTATTTTGTTCATTTATATAATGATGTGTTGTTTATTCTACAATAAATAAATTTTATTCGAAAAGGAAACTGGACAAAATTTTAATAATGTATTTTCAACATGACGTCACAAATCTCGAAGAGATTTCTCCATCGATTGATTTGTTATTCGTCTCGTCGTATCATGG